GCATTGTTAGTGGATCTGTTGGTATTCCTCCTCTTCCCCCACCTCTGCAGACTGCCGCAGCGTGCAGCTTTCCTGCTCTGGATCCCCATCAGACCCAGCAGTGAGTTTAGCCTGTATTATCTTAACTTTTTGCAGTTCTGTGCTCCAAGTACTCCCTCCCATCTCCCTGGTATCTCCTTTTTGCTGATTGTGCAGGGATTTGAGTTTTCCCATACACTGTATCTAGCTGCCTGTTCCCTCTGAGTACACGTAGAGAGATGAAGATTTCCAAAGTGTTGTGCCAGAGTTCTTTGCTGTCCCTTGCTCAAAAGAAAAGTGTTGTTGGGATGTTTGGTTTCTTTAAAACAGTCTCAGAATGGGGGAGATTATTTGATCTAACAAGTAACTTCCTTTCAAAGGAAGGAATATGGTTTGCTTGCTTGACACAGCAACTTTCTCTTCAGCTAGAGCCAAGCACAGCGTTGTACTGAATTCAGTAATGAAACGTGTGCAGACTGGGAAGAAGCCTAAAAAGATGACTGTTACTCTCAACACAAGCAGTGCTTTGTTGCAGGATCTTTATAATGGCAAAAAGAAAAGAAAAAATCCCTTGTGTTGTGAGAATTACTTACGTTCATGCCATCATAAATGTTAGGAGGCTTCTTTGTGCATTGCTTTTGGCATTTAAAGGACAATGTAGCTTGGAAGCGACCTCTGACGTTTCTCCAGTCAAATCCCTACTTAAAGCAGGGCTAATTTTGAAGATCGGTCAGGATGCTGTATTTTGTAATCCTTAATGGTATTTAAAAGCTCATGAAATCCTGATGAGCATGTTACCAGGTTACTGTGAATTGTAAATTTTCTTTACAGGAGTTAGATTTAAAAGATATTTGTAATCATATGACTCATTTGGGGGGGGAATGTCTCATAAAAAATAATCAGCTCAACTTGTTTGGGATATGCAAGTTCTGACAAAGCTCTGAAAGATTTTTAGGCTCAATATGGAATGTCTTGGGGAAGTTGGGAGTGGGAGAGAAGGGAAGAATAAGCAATGGTCAAAGCCATTTTACACTAGGGTATATGTGCTAATGCAGCCCAGCATATGAGAGCGCCCACTGAGTGTTTCCAGTTTTGCTCAGCTGTTTTATGATGTGAAAACACAGACTTTCCAGGGCGCTTTGACACAGCTGCAATGGGTCCTGTTTACACTGCTAAAATAAATGTTTAAGGGTAGCTCTTCTCTTAATGACAATTTTTGCTCTGGTGGTGGGTGGAAGGGAAATGAGACATCTAGAAAACCATGTTTTAACTGATCTTGACACAAAGTGAAGACCATCAACTGGCACTTAGAACAGGATTAAGACTAAGCTTACTTAAATTCTGGTTAGCTGAGTTCTGACTGACCATAACAACTCACTTTTATCTTGGTGGTCACCACAAAAAAACACAAAAAGATAACACAAAAAGATGTTTTTCCTTTTTTCTTTGGCCTCTGCTCTCTGGAAAGAGAAGCTCTCGCTCCCTTCTGGAGGTTTTAGAGTTGAGAGCTTGCAGATCTGATAGATCTGATAGATCTCATCTGATAGATGAGATCACAGAGAAAGTGATGCTCTTTAGTGAAGGGATGGTGCCACTAAAGCAGGTATATGCTCCATAGAAATGCTGGGTTAATTCACCAGTACAGCCTCTGTATAGAATCATTTTTCTAACATTGTGCATGGTGATGGCTTTTTCATTGTTTCCAGGGTGGTTTATATTGCTTTAGGGGGTGTGTGTGTGTGTGTGGGGGGGTGCAGTTAGAAGTAGAATAGACTGAAACACAGGGAAAATATTACCTGTAAAAATGCACAGTTCTACAGAAAAAGCACAGTTTATCATGCAGATCTTAAAGTTTAGTACTGTGTTCCCAGCGTCAGAAAAGCTTTCTGTAATTCCTGTTCCCTGCACCCACCCTCCCATAAAGAGGGTAACCATGTGTTCAGTTTAAAAAAAAAAAAAAAGAATGATTAAGATACCTTTAAAACAATCTTGCTGTGGATTGGACAGCTGTTCTTTCGTAACCGCGGCAGGGTGACTGGGGCATGTATTGCTCAAAAGACGCGGAGAGCCACGTCCTGGCCACAAGGCAAAGGCTCCAGAGCTGGACTCCTGCCTAGTCCTGCCCACTCGCCACTCGTGGCAGCGCAGTTTGTCTTCTTTCCTGCCTGCGCTCGCGTTCAGGGGGAGCTGGTGGTGGCTGATGCCGGTGCAGGCTCCATGGGTTCTGGTGAGTGCGTGCCCCCGAATGTTAAAGGCTTACGGGATGTTGTATCTTCTCCTCGTGGATTATGGCTTACGGGATGCGCTGTTGTATCTTCTAATTGTGGATTGTCATTGGATGTTTAAAAACTCATTGAGTTTGATCACAAGGCAGTAGCATTTGTATTTTAGGGTGGGGTGGAGGGTTGTGGAGTTATTTTGAGCTTCAGATTTCCTTAATAAATGGCAGCTAATCAGGAATGAAGCTGCTAGTTGCAAATGCTCAGCTGTTTTCCTTTTAGTCTCTTCACTTGGGGTTCAATGACATAGATGTGTCAGGGCTCAGCCTGTCTTGTTAGCAAATGTTTTAATAATCCTGGCTGCTGTTTCCCATACATATTTTTCAAAGTGGCTCACCATGGTGTTTGCTTAGCAAGGGAGGAATTTCATTATCACCATGTAGAACTGCTTCTTCCATTCCCCTATTTATTTAAATAGCAAAAGATTCACATATTTGAATAGGGTTTTTTTGTCACTGAGTAGAGACCAAAGAGTCCAACTAAAGATGTGTGTTGACTAAGCTTAATGATCTCCTCTCTGTCAGCCACAACTGAGTGGAAGCTGGCTTTTCACGATGCTAATAATGCTAACAATAAAAATAATGCTAATAAAAATAAAAAGCTATGTGGTAACTACTCATTAATCAGTTTCCACAAATTTGGCAATGTTTTTGTACACAAATGACATGCACAAGGGATTAATACTTGTTTTTTACCCCCTCTCTCCTCTTGTAACTAAGAATTAAAACAGTTCTTGACCGGACAAGATTCAAGTCCAAAGAATAGTTGGCTAATCAGACTCTGGGAGGGAGCAGAGCTATAGCCTTTCGGGTATGCCGCAGAGATTTTACGTCTTAACGCAAGGATATTGCTGCACTACAGCAATACATCTTGAGTTACATTTTGGTCATTCCAAAGGCTGGGGTCAGGATGGTCTCTGATACGAGTCAGAGGCAGATATCAAAAAATGGTCATTGCAGTATGACTTTGTTTGAAAAAAGTATTCAGAGAAAGCAGATACGGTCAAGGAAGGTTTCGCTTGGTTAGAAGTAGGTGGTGAAATGGGGTAGAATCTGTTCTCTTATCTGCATTATGTTTATGTGAACTGGCCTTGTTTCCTGCTCGGGATCATGGCTAATCATGTTTCAAGATACTGTGATACTGTCTTCCTTGGAACCAAGCATGCTGTTAAAAGAACAAAGTGATCTTTTATTTAAAATGTTTCCTAGCTATTCTGCAGTTGGTTGCATTTGTTTGTCAGTAGTATTGTGGAGCTAGTTTTAAGGGTGGAAAAGGATTTTCTCCCAGAAAATTCTGAGCACAAAAGCAAGGAGCTAATCCTAGTTCTTACTTTCTGAATTCTGGCAACAACTATCTGTGGGGATAAAGATTATGTGTGTCTTTAGTTTATTGTCAGTCACAGTTCAAAACAGTAATGTTTTCCTATATTTACGAGGGAAGAAACTTCTCCTATAAAAAAGTGTATACAGACAGCAATATTTACCAAAACAGTCTATCAGGGAATAGGGTTTTGCAGATGGCTCTGGAAAAAATTTGATTCTCTGTATTGTGTAATACTAAAGTTGGGTGACTGCAAATCTACAGCCCTTTGTAACACATAACTGTTGTGTTACTGAGTGTACAGTGACTTCTTATACTGCCAAAACTCCAGTGACTCTTGTACCAGTTATTGCTCAGAGCTGGATCTTGAATTTTATCCATGAGGCAGGGCTAAGTGTGCTTTCCTGCATCCTCAGAACTGATACTGCTTTGCTGGAAGGTGGCTGTCAGCCCTTTCCAGGCTTGTGAAACTTGTGCAAAGGTCAGGATTGGGCTGTGGGGGGTTTGTGGATGGATGGTGGTTAAATAAAATTGCCACTGAACTAGTCACCAGTAACAACAAGCAGTGTTTGTACTTCAGGACTTGAGCAGGCATATGTAATGGCTTACATTGCAATGTTATCACTTCCAACGGATGGGTGTGAGTTTAAGTTGTTTGTTCCTGATGTAATTTCTGCTTTAGCAAGAATAGAAATTGGTTAGCATATAGAAGGTGCTGTCCAGGGCATATTTGTAATGTTGGATCACTGTGTCTAATAAAATGGTTGCAAGACGACATATTTCTGTCTGCAGGCATGACTGATGAGCTCTATTTTTGGCTTGGTGCCTGCTTTGGTTCTAGTGTGGAACTGTAAGGAACAGGAAAGGTTACCAGTTATGGTGAACCAGATATAGATTTTTATTTTTTTTAAAAAGTCTTCTGAGGTATATTTGTAAAGTTCACTATTTAATATAGATGGGGTGAGGGGAACCATTTAAACTACGAACACTTCATTTTTGAAAGAACCACTGTCCTACTGTAATAATTTAAGTTACTGGCTAACATAGGGGTCATCTTGTTAGAGGCTCTTTGTTACACACATACACTTCAATCATCTTTCTCCACATTGCAACTGAGCCCTTTAATCATGAAAGTTTTTGTCAGTCTGGTGGCAGGAAAAGGTTAAGAATTTCTTGTTAATAGTTTTGATGTGGATCAGGTGCAGAACTGGAATGTAATCTAGATCTTCTAAAACCCAGTTCAGTACATTAATAAATATACAGATCATCTCCAGGCGAACCAAAAATACCCGTGTGAGCTTTTAGTTGTTTTAATCCAGTTCCTCCTTGTCTGGCATCATTGATGTCCAGTGTTAGAGCTGCTTTCTTCTTTCTCTTTCAGAAATGTCCTTCCTGCCTGACTTCGGGATCTTTACCATGGGCATTTGGTCTGTTGGTCTTGGAGCCATCGGTGCAGCTGTGACAGGGATTGTCCTTGCTAACACTGACTTATTTTTGTCCAAGCCAGAAAAGGCTACGTTGGAGTTTTTAGAGGAGATAGAGCTAAAAACTTTGGGATCAGGTAAGATTCTGGGTGTTTCAGCCCACAGTCTTTGACAATTGGACTTTTACAAGAACCTTTGTAAGGCCAGTGTTGGACGAGTTTTTCTTAGTGTTTCCTAGTTATAACACGTAGTTGGGCATCTTTGATAGCAGGTAATTCTGGTGAAGGAAAAGCAATCAAAACTGTTATTTCTGGATGAAACATGACACACTTCTAAAAATCAATAAAGCAATAATACCCTGTTATGCATATAGAATTTTTTTCTGATAGAACTGTACTTGAATGTGGAATTCTCTGCAGTGCTTTGTGTTGGTCCTTAGAGCATTAATCGTTACAAATAAGAATGGCTGATATTATTGTTGGTGCTGTTTCTCCTGTATGAACAGAACAAAGAACATTCAAAGCAGGTGAACTATGGAAGAAGAATGGTGCAGTGGTCATGGCTGTGCGAAGACCTGGATGATTTTTGTGCAGAGAGGTACTGGCTGGGCTTGGGGATTAATTAGGAAGAGCTGAGCTCTACTTGCATAGATTCCCTTTAAATAAAGAGCGGGGAGGAAATAGGACAGTCATCAAATACATCTCAAGTATCTGAAAGGTCTTGTTTCCTAGCCCAAACTGGTTGCCAGCTAACACCATACTTAGTTTTCTTTGCCACTGGTTTGTGTAGTCTAGGTCCTGATCATTCTTCTTCTGAGGGCAATGAATACATGATTTTTACATCTGCCAGGGACCCAGCCCTTGGTAATTAGAAAAGGAGATTACACAAAAGTCAATAGGTAATGAGTTTTTTGAGCTAGTTGTATTCCAGATGTCCAAAATAAATCACTATGAGCCAGGTAGTCTCTGGTCAAGAGCAGCCCAAGACTGGACTGGCAGAAAGCCATCAGATAAAGCTTATCAGCAAAAAGAGGTGTGCATAAAGGTTGCTGTTGTGGATGCTGAATGTGAGGCAGGAAGGTAAAGGAATCTGAAGACAAGGAGTTACTCTTCCATAACAAGGTGGATTGGGAAACAAAATGTGATCCTTAGGTTGGCATTAGGCACCTTGGGTGGAGGTAGGAGGATACACTTAAAATACGATTTGAATGTACTGTGTTCCTGTGGGAACAGCCATAACTTGCACCTTGGCCATTATTTTTCTCATAGCTATGGGGAAAAATAGCTATTATGTTGTTACTCACTACTCTATAACATGGAGTAATTAATATTGCAACCACTTAATTAAAGGATCTGTTCCCATCAGTAGTAACTGCTTAAGTATGTGTAGAATTAATGGAAGGTTAAAGATGAAAGTGCTTTGCTCTCTGAACAGGTGTAGCATAGGCAGGAGGAGAATGCACTGTGTGCCTGACTGTGCCTTTCACATACGGTTAGACAGGAATTAATTAGTGATTTTTTTTTTTTAATGGTAACTTCCTAAGTAGAAATAAAGAGTCCAATTCAAAGAATCGTGTTTTTTTCTTTCAGGAAGAAATTGAGGAGAGAGGAATTTAATTTTCTAATTCTTATTTTTGTTTCAAAACTTCAAATTTAACAGATGCAGTCACACTACAGATCAGCTAATTAGGGCAAATAATTGTTTTGTATTTTATCTGTGAACATGTTTGAAAAAGCTTTTAAATTGTCTAAACTGAAGTTATTTTTTATTGTTGTATACAAGAGTCATCTCACAAAAGAGCTTTGAGTATACATTCTTCTCCTAAGAACAGTTTAGTTGCCTTTTTTGTGTGTGTGTCTGTGGTGTCTATTAATGTTTCTCCACAGTATGAAGGCTGCTTCAAGCTGCTTCTTTCCCCACTGTCACTCTCTGAGCTGGTGGAATGGTTCAATACAGGTGACTTGCCATATCTGTTAACCTGCAGGCAGTAGTTTTTGGTTTGTTTTTTTTTGCAAGAGACAAAAATACTGTTGCTTCCCACTCTTACACCTTGGAAAGGATGTTGAACTTTGTCCTTGCTGGCAGCACCAAAAAGAAATATATACTTCCCTGACAGAGTGGTGGGGTTGAAAAGTGGCCATTCGACCTTACAGATCACTGACCTGATACCAGCGGTGAGGACATGCTTCCATTATCCACTGCAAAGGATATCACAAATCCTGCTGGAATGATATCTTTTTATCCTTGAGGATTGAGGCCTGTAGGCTTAAGAAATATGGAGTCTTTTATCTCTATTATCTGCATCCTAAATCATCAGAGTCTTTTTTTGTTATTTAAGATAGCCTATGTTTAACAGGACTACGCTTCTCCATCTCATGGTCTGGATCGAGCCATGTAGCAATCCAGTGCTCCAGTCATTGTGAAAGTGCTGTGGGCTTGCGAGTTTTGTAGGTGCCAACTCAAGCAGTCTAAAGTAGCAGAAAAGCCATAGTTGAACTATCAGAGGACAAACTGAAATGGAAATTGTTTTTTTGGATTGTCCTGCCTTGGTGGAGAGAGGATGTATTCTGCTAGGGTGTGCCTGTCTGCTATTTACAAAAACAAGAAAACAGTTTCACAGACTAGATGAAATGGTCACAGGCCCATGGTGAGGGGGGCCTTTAAAACAAAAGTTGCTATAATTTGCCCACAAAAATAGACTTCTTCTCTTTTGCATATTGTATCATTTTTTTAATAGCAGTAAAGAAAAACAAGTCAGGTCTAGTCCCGAGGTGCTGCTTGAAGTCTAATCTCTTGAGAATTTTAAAACTTAACTATGCTCTTATGTTACTCCTGCTCTCTCCCCTCCCAAAAGCCAAGCAAGGAGACACAAAATAAACCCCACCAAACTGCTGAAGTGCCTTTCTCCAAAACGCTAATCAAGGTTTGATGGTATCACTATCTCTCCAGTGACAGTGGTTTCTGGTCTTACAGGGGACCCCACTGCACTAGCCTGGAACATCAGTTCTCAGACATGTTAGGTCACACTACAATTTTTTTTGTTTTGTTTTGTAGATTATGAGAGTTTTGAACTATATACGAAATCCCAGATAAAATTGTTATTAACCTCCCTTTTAGGAAGATCATAAGGCATTTTGTTGAGGGAAAACAGGAAATAATTACCAGATCTTTAAGAACAGAAAAGAGGGGAAAGATCTAACAAGTGTAAGCTATGATCCTTTAACTCTCAGGCTCACTACTTGGTGTTTGCTTGTGATGCTGATTCATCCTTTTTCATTTCCTCTGAAATAGAGAGGAGTGAACTGGAAAGCTGCCCTTATCCTTTCACCTACTGATGTCTTTCTCTAATGTCTTTTATCCTGTCTGTTGACCCCTATCTGTCTGCTACTTGATACTCAATAAATTCTAGATAGCCTGTAAGCCTTTGAGTTAAGGCATTTCGGTTAGGTGGCTGAGGGTGTTCACATAAACCATGTAAACCGTGTCTTGTGAAATTCTTTGTGGGAATTTTGTCCAGTAAAAATGACGTTTCTCCATTGGAGATGAGAAGAAACACCTTTGCAGTGTGCACTGTGATCTGTTGGAAACCTGGGAGGCCTTTGTACAAACCATGGGAGCTGAGAGTTCCTTCAGCACAACAAAAAATCCAGCAGATGAGTTGCGACACCTTACACTCTTACACACCAGAAAAAGCAATATTGCTTCTGGGGTACTGAAGGTGTATGGAGAAATTCCCTGATTATTTTCACTGGGAAAGTTAAGTGATGCGCAGGCATTATCTTTTCACTGTTCTGTAAACACTTCAAAAGATAGTTGAAGCCCTAGCACAGGCAAGGTATATCTACAGCTTTGATTTAAAAATGTTTTTTCCAGGATTTAATATCTTATCCAGTAAATACTCAGAAAAAATCTCCTTCCTCTGTGCTTAATGAAGAAAATTTTAGTAAATCTAATGATGATCTGCCTAGGAGTACACCTAGCTTAAATGTCTGATTTACAGGTCTGTTTCTGTTTTGTTCTCAGGCTAGAATTTATGTATGTTTCTGATGCTCTTGAAATTCAAGGTGAAGCTTTCCAACCTCCATCTACTGCCTGAAATGTTTTGGTGTTTTTTTCCTTTCTTAGGAGGCTTCTGAGCTCTCCTCTCTGAAACCTCAGCTGTCCAAGCTGGGTGTCCCTCTCTATGCTGTTGTGAAAGAGAAGATAGGGACTGAAGTGGAGGATTTTCAGCATTATTTCAAAGGAGAAATCTTCCTGGATGAAAAGGTATAGTGAAGTTTGGTGTACTCCTTTTATTTAAAAACGAGCTTATGAATGTCCTCTTTGAAGAGTTTGTATAAATAATATAGATAGAATGTGGTCTGAATGAAAAAGGATTTAGTGACACTGTAGTTTAAGAAGTTAATTAGCTTTGCTTTTCTATATATATATATATCCTGCTCAGCTTAGACATTGCTCTGTAGCTATGCACTGATAACAGGCTGTTGCAGGATTAGTCCTCCCCTTTAACAGGTAAACAATATGGCCTATTAATATTTATTTCTTTCTTCCACTGGCTTGTGTGACTTGCTGATGTTTATGATGTGTGAATCAAGGTCTGAAGGTGACAGGCATAATTAATTCACGATGTACAGCCCAAATTGCAGTGATGTGGCTTGTCCCAGTAAAGCGGCGCGTGCCATATTGCCAGTCTCCTGTCCTACAAAACCACGGCCCTGCTTACTCTTTAACCCAGAAGACGCATTTAGAAATCATTTGGCTTCTGAAACAAAAAGAATACATAATACTCAAAGTCAACAAGAAGATACCTTTGTTTGCACTCCCCACTCTGCCTGTGTGAAAGAATCAGGCTGATTTATAAAGAAAAAAAAAAAGGCAGGTGACAGATAAAGTTTCAGGACTTGACTTCACTGTTATCTCTTTACCAGCATTTTTATTGCCTTACTTCAAAAATAAGAAAAGAATATGTTTATTACAAAGCACCCTTGTCAGTAACGTGCATATAGATGTGTATGGGGCTTAAATACCTGTGAATCAGCTTAAAATCCACATGAATGGTGGCAGTACCACTAGTTGGCTGTGTGGAGGTAAGCGGTCATGTACTGTGTTAAAGAGGTTACTTCAGGTGCTATTTCTTTTTAGCTCTGCCTGGTTGGCTTTTGTGTGTTGTGACCTTTCTTGGATACAGGGTTGGCTGGTTTCCTGAATTTCATCTGGGAGGAAAATCCTTTTCACTTTGTTTGCTGAGGTATTTTCTGTTTCCCTGCAGAAAGGCTTCTATGGTCCACGCAGACGAAAAATGATTATGTCAGGCTTCTTCCGCCTTGGGGTCTGGCAAAATTTCTTCCGTGCTTGGAAAAGTGGATATAGTGGTAACCTGGAAGGAGAAGGATTCACCCTGGGAGGAGTATATGTGATTGGGGCAGGAAGACAGGTACTGCAGGCCATCTAGGAGGCTTTTATATCTCCTGAGAGACCGAAATTTTATTGTCTGGAATTGTTCAGTTGCTGGTCAGTTGATATCCCATGGGGAGACTAGTGTATGAATTTCTGTCTTTTGTCTTTGACTAGGGTGTTTTACTGGAGCATCGTGAGAAAGAATTTGGAGACAAAGTCAGCCTTCCATCTGTCCTTGAAGCTGCAGAGAAGATAGAGCCACAAGCTTCCTAAATGGAAAAATAGTTGCACATGTTTCTGATCACAGCTTGAAATGTAGAATGCATCTGTTTCTTGAACGTGCAGTTTAATTGCTTCTTAACTATTTAGTGATTGATGCAGAGGAAAGATTCTCTACTCAAACATAGTAAATGATGAAAACCCTCCGGGATTTTTTTTGTTGCTTTGCAGCCTTTCAGGTGGTCAGGATTTCAGCTGGTCTTTTGTGTCTGACTGTGTTAATGAAAGGCTGGGTCTAAAATCTGACCTAGCCTAGATGTTTTCAGCCAGAGACAGTCGGTTGAAAACCTGTCTACCTAGGGGAACAAAAGTCTGCTAGGGCTGGAGTAATGGAGTACCAGCTGAGGTTGAAGGATAATAAAACTTTATGTAAATGAAATGCCTTCGCTTTTTCCTTTTTCATTAACATCAAAACACATTTGTTTCTAGAAGACTAAATCCTGTCAGTCTAGATTATTCTGAGATTCTGCATTCAATAATATGTCTACCCAGTAAGTTTTTTGGTAGTTAACTACTGGCTCTAGATCTTCCAGCTCTTTGTGTGACTCCCTGCATGGAAGATTGAAGACATGTAATGTTCACTCCAGAAGATAATTGTGGCATGAGGGCAAGTGTTGTCTTGTGTTTAAGATTTTAAAAAAAAAAAAGCCAACAATATCGGAGAGCAGATTAGGTAGAGTTTCCATCCTGGCTCGAGTTCTGCAGTAGAATGGCTGGGCTGTTACTTCTAAAAATAGATGTAGTTGCACAAGATGATCCATGAGAGCCAGTACCATACATAGCTAAATATACATACCTAGACTGAAGTATGAACAGGACAGCATGAATTTTCCAAATGTGCTGATGTTTCAAAGTCTAAACAACATTTTAACATTGCTCTTGGAGAGGATTATCAAGTGTTGGGTATCCTTCATTAGCTGCTGTATATGAAAGGCTAGGTAACTTGGGAAGAATGTGTGGGCTAGAGCATACTAAACTACCAGAAGGATTAAAGGGAAGGATTCTTTGGCGGCAGGTCAGTCTGAACTGTCATTCTGCTTTCTTCTGACCTTAAAATTAATGAAACCTTCATGTATCATTGGTACTGAGGGCAGGGATACTTTGCATCTCTGAAACTTCAGTAATATGCCTGTTTTTGCTCTGTGTGCCAGTGCCCACCCATCCATATTGTTGAGCTGTGTGCAAAAAAAATGGTCATACATGATCTGAGTGTCAAACCTAAATGCCAAAATCCTAAAACTTCACAACACTGAGGCCTGGCCTTGGCCTGTGTTAAATCAGTTATGCAGGCTTTAAAATTGCATCATTATGGATGAAATCCTGACTACTATTTTTTTTTTTAATTTCCAGGCAGAAATAATTTTAACAAAAAATGTTTATGTGCTCTTCAGAGTCTGTTTTTCACAGTTCCCTGAAACAACACGAGCAATGAGCATTCTGAGGGATTCAGATATGGGTATTTACACCAAGATGTTTCATTTGAAACCTAAATGGAAATTGGACTCATGTATGCTACTATCAGATGAAATTTGTGTTTGACTGTTTTGGGGTTGGAGGACAGAACAGGAGTTTGGAGGGTAGAGCAGCAAAGTCTACAGCAAATTTACTATATGATACGGACTTTTTCTATAAGTGCTGTCCTAAGATTCATGGAGCGGTGCAGAGAATTGTGTATTGTCTCTGTCCACGTTCTGAGCTGTGTGGGTAAGTATGAAGGTAAGTAAGATGGTGTCAAAAAGCTGTTGGGTGCTCGAAGGCATAAAATGACTGACTGGAGGTGGGCTCCTCTGAATGGCATCCAGAGCAGCCGGACAGCTGCCAAGAGTTTGCTCCATGAAATAAAAGAATTGTGCCTGAAAGCTTTTTGTCCTGGGTTTTACCACTGAAAGGAAGTACCTGTATCATGAGTGCTTGCCTGACACAAAGCATCTAAAGCTCTTCCTCTACAAACCTGCAAAGTTTAAAGCAATATGTAAGTGGCTGCTTGTCTGCAGTCAGCGTATTGTTACTTTGGCCTGCAAGTGGTAGGAAGCATAAAAGAGCTGCTAAAAGAAATGTGTGGGAGCTACTGTTTCTTACAGTTGCAAGATGCTACTAATAACAAAGATCTTACAATAGGAGAATTCACAGGTTCGGATCATGGCTCCTATTGAGTTTTGAGTTTTCTTTCCAATGGGAACTGGAAAGCTTTGCCATTTGCAGGGGACAGGTCTTACACAAAGAGATGGGCAAAGAAGGTACTGATCTTAGACCTGGATTTCAGGCCTTGTTCCAAGGGCTGTTTATGCATTTCACATAAACATGAAATGTGAAAGGCATAAACAGTCCTTGGAGAATGGGATGGAAGCCAGATAAATTCCAAGAAATTTAAGATAAACTGAAGTGCTTTTAGAACCTGCTAAATCTGGAGAGCATCTACTTAACAGTTTTGTGTACGCGCAGTTGAATCCCACATACTCTGACAGAGCTGGCCACCGGTTCCTCCAGTCAGACTGCAGGAGGTCTTAGATGATGACAAGGATGCCACCCAAAGGGACTGTGTTTTCTGATCTTGGAAACGGAAGCAGGAAGTCATCATGTCCAGCATTTAGAATGTTTAGCTGAAGTATAATGTCTGTTGAACATACAAATCATTAATGCTGCAATGATGAAATGTTCCTTTAGTGTAGAAACATTTTTAGAAAGACCTGTGAAGTCCTTTTGAGGGTGTTTATTAAAATATTCATGGAGACTGAAAGTTCTCTGCTCTGTGAGCTTCAGCAATGGTGGTACAATAACCATGTCAGACCTATATCTGTGAGAGTGTGTTTTCCTACTGTTAACAGTCATAGTTCCTGTAAACAGCTAGTGGGACAGCATACTTCTTGATTTGAAAGTTATGTAGGCTCACCCACATTTCAAGGTTTTGTAATCCTGTCTTCCAGAGATCAAGTCAAAACTTTGAGCCATAAAAGGTCCAAATGATATTTGAAAATGTTCTGAAGAATTATTGATAAATCTGACTTTTTTTTTTTTAGCCAACTTTGGGATTATTTGGAGTTGGCTCATCCTTTCTGAACTCGATGTTGACAAAATACAAATGGAGAGGGTAGAAAATATGTGGTACCTAGGAGCTAGGAACAGTTCATAGGAATTGGAAATGGGCAGTCTTGAAGAAATAAAAATGACAGCAAAATAGTAAAGGAGGAACAAATGAATTCAAAGTGAATGTCCAGTGCTGGAAAGTGCAAGGTCTGACTATCTGGTTTAAAAAAAACTTTCTTCTTTAAATGTAGAACGTTCATTGAAAAAAAATTTTCATAGTTGTTGATTTTGTTGTACCAACAGCTACCTCTGCTGCCCCAGTTCCTTATATGCATTTAAAGTTTTTTTTTTAACCACATGTACACAAAATCTAAATCACTTCTCCGTGCATCAAATACCACATCACAGTTCAACACTCAGCTAGTTACTGGAAACTCTAATAATTGAAAGTTTGTTTATTCTGGGCTTGAGAGACAAAACTACCCAGTAGTAATTTTAAGTATGTTCCAGTACTGTTTAATATCTTCATCAATTACATAGGCAGTGGGATCAAGTGCACCCTCAGCAAGTTTGCAGATGACACCAAGCTGAGTGGTGCAGTTGACACACCTGTCAAGAGGGACCTGGACAAGCTTGAGGAATGGGCCCCTGTGAACCTCATGAGGTTCAAGTGCAGGGTCCTGCACCTGGGTGGGGGCAACCCGCAGTATCAATACAGGCTGGGGGATGAAGGGTTGGAGAACAGCCCTGCCAAGGATTTGGGGGTACTGGTGGATGAAAAGCTGGGCATGAGCCGGCAATGTGCGCTCACAGACCAGAAGTCCAACCCTATCCTGGGCTGCACCCAAAGCAGCGTGGCCAGCAGGTCGAGGGAGGGGATTCTGCCCCTCTGCTCCGCTCTGGTGAGACCCCACCTGCAGTGCTGCGTCCAGCTCTGGAGCCCTCAGCACAGGAGAGACATGGACCTGTTGGAGAGGGTCCAGAGGAGGGACACCAAAATGATCAGAGGGGTGGAACAGCTCTGCTGTGAGCACAGGCTGAGAGAGTTGAGGTTGCTCAGCCTGGAGAAGAGAAGGCTCCGGGGAGACCTTATTGCAGCCTTCCAGTGCTTAAAGGGGGCTTATAAGAAAAATTGGGGACAAACTTTTCAGCAGGGCCAGTTGCAATAGGACAAAGGGTAATGGTTTTAAACGAAAAGAAGGCAGATTTAGACTAGATAGAAGGAAGAATTTTTTTACAATGAAACACAGGGACAAGTTGCCCAGAGCAGTGGTAGATGCCCCATCCCTGGAAAACGTTCAAGCTCAGGTTGGACGGGTCTCTGAGCAACCTGCTCTAATTGAAAATGTCCCTGCTCATTGGAGGGGGTTTGGACTAGATGACCTTTAAAGGTCCCTTCCAGCCCAAAATATTCTATGATTCTATGAATTTACCTTCAATTAATTTTCCCTTGTTTGTAAGCCCATTCATTTTTTTCCGTACAAACACGGATTAATAAAAAAAAAAATTAAAGAGGAAAATGCTATGAAGTCAATGGGGTCGTGTAATATAGGAAGGTTCTTTTTACTTGAACTTTTAAAAATACTAATTACATTTCCTATCTGCGGTGTCCTTTTAAAGGCATTAGGAAGCTGGCCTGCCTCAGAGGGTGTTTTCTGTTTATTTCCTGTCCTGCACGTTTGCTGCCCTGTGAAGGTCACCCATTCCCAAGGCTGCCAGAGTGCCTGCAATCGGTGCCATCTGCAAATACCCGCACAGAGAAGGGACTGCCAAGGGATCCCTGCCATCTTCTGGTGCGCGTCCTGTGATGCACTTTGGCAGAAAGACTGAGCAAATTCTTCTTCTCTCTCAACCGCTGGATGTCACTGCTACCCCAGCCAAAATGAAGGTCAGCTGTAAACCCGGGTTTTTTTCTGCAGTAAAAGATTTGCATAACAAAGATGCCAGGAACAGACCACTGTAGATTGCGATTAGGCTAGAAGAAAGCTGTTAGGAAAGACATCTACTCCTGCCATCTTCTTACTTGTGTGGCCGTTTTTCTTTTTAAAATAAGAAACTTAAAGGAAGGATATACTCCTTTGAATGATACAGTCTGTGGTATATAGACATTTCTAAACGAGTGTGGAGGCAGTAAATTATTAACAGACCCGCTGTAATGCTTACTAATGTCATATGTTTGAGTAAGGCTAATTTTAGATACTGCCAGTGTGTGAGTGGCTTCCTCTATCCCACCGACTTCTGCCGGAGGCTGATTCAGCGGGGCCGGAGTAGAGCGGTGCAATGGCCGCTTGGTAACAGCAGAGGGAGCCGGGGAGAGGGAGAAAATGCTGTGGAGACATGATGAATAAAGTTAAA